ATACTCCAGTTTCAGAACTTTGCCATCACTTCAAAAAGCTCCCTGATGCCCACTTGCAAATTAATGGACTCATATTTTTGTGAAAAATTCTGTTAGGTTTTATTATTAAGTTTAGTTGATTATATTTCATCATATTTTAGCAGTTCTTTTAATTAAAAATATTATTCCATATTTCCCTTTTTTGTTTTCAGATTTGGATGTAGATTAGGTTTGCATATTTTTCACATGATCTGAATCAAATTTTGTTAAATTTTCTTTAAATTTTTAAACTATTTGATTATTATTTTGACAGTACCAAAGAATAATGTTTATCTCTATAATTTAGAATTGAGTCTATTATATTTTATATATAAGTGTGTCTTGTTATATTATCACATTATTACATAATGATATATTATTTTCATCTTTGATGTTGCTTTTTATCTCTTTTTATAATTAGGTTTCTACAAGGTCTCTCTTATCTTCATAGGTTTTGCTCCCAATTTTACTCTACTTTAGAATTATATAATATTTTCATTTTCAATTCATTATGTTATTTTTTTATAATCTTCTTTTACTTGTTTTTTTTTCCTTATTTTTTAATGTTCTTTTTAATCTCTATAATTAAGTTATTTCTGTTAGTTTTCATTTAATGGAAAATACACGAGTTAGTCTGAGACAGGCTTTATGCTGCTTTGAGGAACCAAAACTGTGGAATGCTCTTCTGCATTGCACTGCATAATTGGATGATCTTCTGTATTACACTGCATAATTTACACCCTCCCCCAGGAGTTCCAGGCATAGATATCATCTCTACGTACTTTATTCTCCTATAAATTTTACTTGAAGGGTTAATGACACCTGCTGAGCAGCTAGCAGCTTGTTGGAACTCTCCATACTCAAACTGAAAAGAATGATCATAGCCTGGCTCACAAATCTTGGCAGATGTGTGCAGAATTGCTCTACCTTTCACTCAGTTCAGGGAGATGAGACTTTGTTATATGTTCATTAGCAGTGATAAAACCATGGATCGTTATTTTCCTAATTAGCCATTAATAACAGTTAAGTCTGTAACGAGATCACAGTTTCAGAGTGTGGAGAATATACTGTTGACAGTGAAATCTAATGAAAAACGAAATGGCTTCTTACATTTTATAAAAGATATTAATCTTATCGATATAATTACTGCCACTCATGCCAGACAATAGCGTCATTTCATTTTATCTCCTTTGTTTTAATACTGGTGACTGAAATATATACTTCTCTGATGGGAAGAAAGTTCTGAAACTAGAGAGTGAATTTTTAAATAAACGGGGTGCTGAATATTTATAGGCTGATAGTAAGAAAACTCACTGCATCAGTTAGAGCAGATACTTCTTATAACAGAGCCGCCATCGATGCTAGGACAAATCAATGTAAGCAGATTGATTTTTCTTAGGTCTTTAAATGTTTAAGCCAGTACCTGGCCTTTGTAATGTCTCTTGGTTGTAGGAAATAGCTGGGAATTTCAGATGAAGGATTACAACTTTTGAGTTAGTTATGCTACCCCAAATGATCAGTGGATGTGGGTGAAATGCCAGTTTTAAATGTATTCATGGGCTTAAGAATGAATACTTCTTCTGCCTGATATTGTGTGGTTTAGCTTTAGTACTTACTGTAGTCAGTCCATTTCTTTGAAATATTGAGCTGTCTGACAGTTTAAAATCCTAAGTATCCTTTAAACTTGAGCCTGGCTTTGGAGGAGAAAGGGGTAATGTGGAGGTGGATTTTATGTAAGACTCTCCCAAGAAAATTCACTGAAGTGCTTTTGCTGGCAGGTTACAGGGAAGACTAGCAAACTGCTTCATCTCAGTCTTCCTTGAGTTTTGCCCTTCGCCCAGATCAACGTTTAGTCAGATAATTTATGTCAAGTCCACTGGAGTCTCTTGTTTGGCCTTATATCATTTTCCTTCCATGCAAAACATGGAAAAGGTCCAAATGCAAAGTCCACATTTTGCTAAGCCAGGTAGATATTAGGAAAAGTCTTCCCACCCTGATACTCTTTATTCCTTGGATCTTTATTTTTCATCTTAGATGGAAAACTGAGTTTTTATAAACATCTCTTGATCAGATATCACCTTATAAGTGTTCTTTCTTTGTGAATGCAGCCAAGTACTAAAGACGTATTTAAAATATATCCTATAGCAATGGTTCTCAACCTTTCTAATGCTGCGACTCTTTAATACAGTTCCTCATGTTGTGGTGACCCCCAACCATAAAATTATTTTTGTTGCTACTTCATAACTGTAATTTTGCTACTGTTAATGAATCGTAATGTAAATATCTGTGTTTTCCCATGGTCTTAGGTGGCCCTGCTAGCGATCCACAGGTTGAGAACCACTGCTTGCTCTGGCCTCTGCCTTCCACCTTCCCTAGCACAGCCCTGTCCTCTTCATAGCAAGCATCTCGCCCTGTCCAGCCACTCTGAGCCTGCATATGCAAATTAACCCATCATCTTTGTTGGGTTAATTTGGATACTTCTGATTGGCTGGTGGGCATTGCAGGGTTACAGTCAATTTGCTTATTTCTCTTTTAATTAGTGTAGAAATTATGCTAACTAACTGTGAGGGCATATATAAAAAAATGAATTCATAAGGAAAGATTTCTTCAAAGACCATGATGGAGGATATACTACCTATGAGCTTTAAAAAAAATGTTGGCCTGAAAGGGACAGAAAATGTGAGGATGAGCATGACAGAAAGAGGAAATCTGGTGTGAAAAAGTGGAGAGCAGAATGGACATGACATGCTCAAGAAAGTGAGAGAAAGTGATGTTCATTTTAGAAAAATCTTTTATTATAAGTATAAAAATGAATACTTGAAAAGAATGAGAATATTCTGAACTTTTATTCCATAGTAATAAGGCTTATAGAGCTTGCATCTGAATTAACTGAGAATTAGCAAGTTTAGCAATAATTTAGGAGGAAAGAAAATACTTAAAGGCTGAGGAGGATACAAAGTAGAATTAGTATCACTTTGGGGTTCCATTAGAGAAGACTTCTGGAGAATGATGTTTAGAAGGAAATGATAAAAATGAATATGTAAAGCCCTAACTGGAATTGCTTGGTGATTAGAGCATTGTCCCATGCACCAAAGGTTTGCAGGTTCAATTCCCAGTCAGGGCATATACCCAGGATGCAGGTTTAATCCTTGGTTGGGGCCCATGTGTTGAGGCAGCTGATTGATGTTTCTATCTCACATTGACATTTCTCTCTTTCTCCCTCTTTCTTTCTCTCTCTCTAGAATCAATGAGAAAAAAACAAAACAAAACAAAACAAAAAAAACATGTCCTGGGTGAGGATTTATTGAAAAAGCCAATTTGTAGAAAGTTTGAAATCTCTAAAGAATGCTCTACATAGTGGGAATCTGGAAATATATAATTAGATGGTATGATCAAAAATGGTATCTGGCTCTGTTGGTGTGGCTCAGTGGTTGAGCATTGACCATGAACCAAGAGGTCACCAGTGAATTTCTGGTCAGGGCACATGCCTAGGTTGCAGGCTCAGTCTCCAATAGGGGATGTACAGGAGGTAGCCAATAGATGTTTCTTTCTCATTGATGTTTCTATCTCTATTTACCTACCTTTCTCTCAAAAAATCTTTCAAAACATATTTTTTTAAAAAGTGGGGTCTACACTTCAGTTTTTAAAGAATCACATTAAAGATATAGAAATGTAATAGAGATTCATTCTCCGTTAATCTTGTTCATATTATCCCTTGGCCCCAGAGCCATATGAAAACCTGCAGGTAAACGTTTTGCTACTTGTTATCTGTTCTGCTCTCAGAAGTTCCCTTCTTCCCAGAAAAAAAAAAAGGGGTGGGGGATTTTTGCTTTGAGACTATCCATGTTCTGGTCCATGCACCCCTTTCTAAGATTCCTTTGTATTTTCTCCCCAAATATTTCTTCTCATTCTGTTTCTGAGAAGACCCTAATCATTTCCTGGCAAGTAGCTTTCCCTGCCTTTGTTTTCTGCCTTCTCCCACCAGGATTGTCTTTTCTCTTCTCAGCCAAATGAGCTCAATCCTCTTTCAAAATCCACGGCTTCAAAAATCACTCTCCTCGGGAGGTCACTGGCTAATTTTTGGTTTTCATTTAGCAAGTATTTTCTTGTGGTGTTATACTTACATGTCTTGCACTTTCTTTCATCGCCTAGGTTGAGCACATCGTAAAAGGGCTGTGTCTTGTAACCTTCATCAAATTGCTTGGGATTTCTGCAAATTTGGTTGGTGATGACATCATAGACTGATCTTCCATATATGTGTGACTCATTTATTGGAAAACTAGAACTGCATAAATGTGTAGATACTTTTTTGTTTGTTCATCACCATATCTCTAATGCTTACTACCAGGCCCAGTTGTGGACTTAATACCTATTTGTTGAATGAGTGCTGGCTTAATTTACTTAAACTGTATGTCTTCATCTGGGACTTTTAAATATCGGGCAGGACACCACCTCCAGAATGTTGTCTCAACAAACAGGATTATTAAGTGTCTTCCCAATGGTTAAGGATAGCACTCAGCTTCTCATCATTTTCTCCCGATAAGAAAGCCTTGGTTTTTCTCCTGTTCTGTTATTTATTAGAAGAGGACAGAAGAAATAAGGTGGGAAATTATAGTTGGTGTAATCTGGCTTTAGCTTATTCAGTGTTCTCCGTCTTTTATTTTGACCAATAAACAGAGGTAATTTTTGAGGGAAGATTATTTTCTAAGATTTACGGACCTTTGTTAGACTTTTCAAGTATTTGTTTGAGGCTTGCTCACTCCTTTATCCACATCAGCATTCTGTGGTAAATGTTTTGCTTATCCTACCTTTTGTGTTTCTCTCTATGACAACTTGCCTGACAGTATTCAGAAACTAGAAGAATGTGTAAGATCAAGACAAAGTTATTCACTTCTGAGGAGGCTACAGACAGGGGCAAAGCAACCATCCTGTGAGGGGAGAACGCTGACTCTTTTCTTGTTTCTGTTTTCTTTTGTCTTTAGCTCAAGCCAGGACAGAACAGCTGCAGGGACAGTGACAGTGAAAGTGCCAGTGGAGAATCCAAAGGTTTCCACCGGAGCAGCTCTCGGGAAAGACTCAGCGATGTAAGTATTTAAAAATAAATCAAATAAAACCACCAAACCTTGCATCCCTTGGGTAAAGTCTCAACTCCCAACACTTCACTTCATATTACTTTATATATCCAAGCATAAGTTCACCCTTTCTTCATGTACACATGGTTGAGCCTTGGTCATTCCATTTTCTAGTTTGACCTAAAATGTGTTTTAACAAAATGTAAGGTAGGGGGGAGTATTTGTCACCTTAGAAAGGCAGGAATTTCAGTTCCTTCTCTTGCCAAGTAATTGGCTTGTTAGTCATCCCTTCCAGCAGAAATAAAATCGGAGAAAGGGATTATTACCATTCTCATGGGTGAAGAAATTACAAATAGCCCATAGTTAAATGATGTCATCTCCCTGCTGTAGCACTGCCTGTTTCTGGGTGAGAAGCCCTTGTGAGAACACACCATGCCTCTTGAAGGATCTGTCAGCTCTCCATCCTCCTCCCGTTCAAGGGGCCTGATCCCCCTGTACCACTGCCCAGCACCACCTGGCCCTCTTTGAACACTACGGACTTCTTCCCAACATGTCATATAATAGGATTCTTAACCCATATTTGCCCCTGAGAGCAACACTGGGAAACTTTCTTGTAAAATAGATCAAGTAGGTAGGAAATTTTATTATTGATACCAACACAGGAACATTGAGTGAGGCAATACCCTTAAGAAGACAGCAATTCTGTCTCTGAGTTTCAAGAAGAAGCAAAGTTGGGATGTGTAACAGGAGCAGATCCCATTGCCTCTTGTCTTCTTCTTTACGCTCCAAAGCAGTTTCTTCATTATGGAGTATAAGACGATTAGTGTATTTAGTGTTAGTACATATTTATTTTTTGTCTGAAAATGAAATTAAACTTTGCTAATACCCAATTTAATAAACATGGAGTAGTTTGTGTCTGTAACTTATAAACATTTTAGGAATGTGCTCAAAACTTTTTACTGAGAAGTGTTCATAAGCATGAAAGGTTGAAGACCATTGTAGCACATTGAGTCTTTCTTATAAAAATTTCCCATCTACTTCTCCTTCAGCGGAGGTGGACAACTACAAAAATCAGGGTGATGGTGATGCGTGTAACATTGAATTCTTACAAGAATTAAGTGGAATAAACAAAGTGTAATTATTTATATTGTATTCTTAATATCTTAATTATAGATATTCTCCCCCCCTTCTAATATTGAATATTGTCAATTCACTCAGTCTTTGCTATGAATATGAGTGGATAAGAATATTTCTTTGTGTGTTTATATTTCATTAATTTTGTGATAGCACTATAAATTAAATTAATAAAACTATAACAATATATTCTTACCTATATTGTTAATAACAATACTTAATACTCAAGGAGCTGTTCTTCTGAGATTTTTCTTTTTTTATATATTTTTATTGATTTCAGAGAGAGGAGAGAGAGAGAGAGAGAGAGAGAGAGAGAGAGAGAGAGAGAGAGAGAGAGAGAGAAAAGAGATACAAACTTCAATGATGAAAGAGAATCATTTATCAGATGTCTCCTACATGCTCCCCACTAGGATCGAGCCTGAAAACCAGGCATGTGCCCTTGACTTTAACTGAACCTGGGACCCTTCAGTCTGCAGGCCGACACTCTATCCTCTGAGCCAAACCAGCTGGAGCTGAGATTTTCTTTTTAAATATAAGATCTTATTGACACTGGAAGTTTTTACAGGATTAGTTAGTAATCACAATTTCATCATAGAGCAGAGAAATGAAAGCCACATTAGATCAGTAGACAAGAGCATAATATTACACAGTCATTGAGATCTTTTGACTCAGTGCTCTGAGGGAAGATATGTATTTAATACTTTCTAAGTGTTCAAAACTTTGAAGGAATTGAAACATTGTGGAATTGTGAAAAGGGACTGAATTTTCATAAGGCTTGTGCTAAACAGTTCTCTAGTGTGACTGTCCTGTGTAGTCTTTTAGTCCATTTACCCTGAACACAGTTGATTATTTCTTTGTTTTCTTCCCAGTTTTGGGAGTTTTATTGACTTATCTATCCCACCATGCCATATTTCATTCATCGATGCAAGCATCTAGCCTATCCTTTCTTCTTCCTACCCTCTCCCCAAACCTTTATGGAAGTTTTGCTAGCCACTGTAAGGAAGAAACAGAACAGGCAATACCATCAATGACTGTCTTTGTAATTTAGGAAAAATATCTAATCCAGACCTTTAAAGGATTTTCGATATATTTTTTTATTTTCGATATTTTGTTTCTCCTTTTTTATTTTTATTTTTTCCATATTTCCCCCCTAAAAGCTAATGTATGCCTTTTCCTTTCCTATACCATATATGTATGTGTTTTCTTAGAACTATCAGTGTTTTGATTGTCCAGAAATCTTTAACGGTACCTTTTAGGTGACAGGTATAATTCTGGGCACTTGAGGCTGAGTGGTGAACAAGCCTCAAGTCACTGCCATTGTGAAGTTTGAAGGAGGCAAAAACACGCCTGTGAGCAAATAAAATTATTTTTGATATAATGCATTTAATGAGGTAAAACAGTGATGAAAGGTGGAAGGGTGCATGTTGCTGTTTTAACTAGGGAGATCGGATTAGTCCTTTCTGTGTAGGTGACATTGAGCTGAAGCCTGAATGAAGAAAAGCCTGAGCAGCCTTGTGAAGATCTGAGGGAAAAGCACACCAGGCAATGAGAAGAGCAAGCTGAAGGCCCTAAGTCAAAGCAAGCATGACATGTTTGAGGGAAAGAAAGGGCTGGTTGGCTCTAGTGTGGTGAACAAACACAGGGGCTGATCACATACTTACTCTCCACTATGAGGGGAGAAACAGATACTGGCTACACCAGCAGTGAGTGTCTTTATATTTAAGAAAATAATCCAATCCTGACCTGAGAAGGACTGCTGATATTCTGTTTCCCCTGATAGCCTATGGTAAGAAGGCTAGGTATTATATTACATTAGATTGTAATGAGTGACCACAAAGTGAGAGGTTTAAAACAAAAGAAATAGATTATCTCAGTTTTCAGGGTAAGAAGTCCAAAAGGAAGGTGTCTGCAGGTCTGTGATCCCAGCTGAAGCCTTTGGAGAAGAATCCTTCCCTTCCTCTCGAGCTGCTGGTGGCTCTTCCGGTCTCAGTGTTCCCAGCTTTTAACTCCATCAGCCCAGTGTCTGCCTCTGTCTTCTCATGGCCTCTGTCTGTCTGTAGCTTTGTGTGCCTTTCCCTCTTCTAGAGGACCAACAGTCATTGGATTTAGGGCCCACCTTAATCCAGTGTGACTTCACCTTTTAAAGACTATTTCTTTTTTTTTTTCTTTTTTTTAAATATATTTTATTGATTTTTTACAGAGAAGAAGAGACAAGGGGGAGGGAGAGTGATAGAGAGCTAGAAACATCAATGAGAGAGAGTCATCAATCAGCTGCCTCCTGCACACCCCCACTGGGGATGTGCCCACAACCAAGGTACATGTCGCTGACAGAATCGAACCTGGGAAACTTCAGGCTGCAGGCCGATGCTCTATCCACTGAGCCAAACCGGTCAGGACTAAAGACCCTATTTCCAAGCAAGGTCATTCTATCGGTCAGGGCTCTCAATAGAAACAGAGCTAGTAGAATGTATGGGCATATACAATGATGGAGGCTGACAATCTCAAGATCCAGGAAAGCTGGTGGCTAGTTCCAGTCAAAAGGCCTAAGTGCTTGAGACCCAGGAAGAGTCAGTGTTTCGTCCAGTTTGTGCTTGAAAGCAGGAAAACACTGTTGTTACAGCTAGAGGACAATCAGACAGAGGGAATTCCCTTCTATTCTGAGGATGATTTTTGTTTGTTTGTTTTATTAAACTAAACACCACACACATTAGGGAGGGAGCAGTATGCTTTATTCAGTCTTTCTATTTAAATGTTAAGCTCACCCAAAAAAACGTCCTCACTGTGACACCCAGAATAGTTTGACCAAATATCATGATAGCCTCTGGAAGATATTAAAAGGAATGTTGTTATAATTGTTACTTTAAAATGTTTGCTTTGGTTTTTATATGAAAAACTGCAGATAAAGAATTAAGTTTAAAAAAAAAAAAAAGCCACAAGGTTGTTGGGTATAGTTGAGAGCTGGTGACAGCTCGGAATGGGCTATAGCCGAGGGTTGGAAAATGGAAGGTGGAAGTGACCATATTCATTATACCTGATGCTTGTTTTCAAGTTGTTGTCCTTTTTCCATTTTTACTTGAATTTTCCTAGTAGCTCATTTCCCCATTCCAATACACTATTTTGCATCTTTATCATCTATTAGTAATTGTATCCCCAAGATACATTTCTTAGGATTAAGATTTCAGGTTCTATTAATTGCCATTGTTTCCTAAAACACTACAGGAAATCCATAAATGAGCTTGTTTCCTGACCTTTGCAAGAAATATGCTTGGCCAAGATCCTCATGCTTCTTATTCCCAAGAGAGAAAAGCATTAACATGGAGGTGGGTAGGCAGGAATGTCAGACACAATTGGTGATTTGGAACAATTTTAAATATTCTATTTAAATTAGCCCTAGGGTCAGAGCATGCATCTCATCTCCGGGTAGAGAACACATCCGTTACATACACAGGGAGCTGTAATAGTAGCCATGGCCTCTCTGTGTAGCTCTCTAATGAATGGAGCACATCTATTTTAGATGGATAATCAATTTTGAAATCCCTTGTTGTAGGTAAGCTGTTAACACAGAAATGTTAACTTCATGACTTTAATGAGTAGCTTCAAGGATAGCGTAGTGACAGAGATGGAGAGAAAGTCAGGTGGGGGGCAGTGAGAAAGAGTAGAATGAGCATTTAATGAATATCCACTTGCAGACTTGAATGTCAGCAGCAACGTTCTCCCTCCTGGAAAATGTCTTTCAACTGTGCATCCTATTACAATTCCTGCAGCCCATGGTAGCTTGGAGATTGAACCAGACAGAGTGTGTTTGTAAGAAAGATCTACTTTGCCACATAATGAGATCGAGGTATGTAATTTGCAGAGATAGCTACAGCAGTAGTCAAATTGGTAAAAAAACAAAAAACAAAAAAAAACAAACAAAACAAAACCAAAACCCAAAACAAACAAAAAAAACCACATAGCAGAATGAAAAAGCATGTTAAACAGAAGATGGCTTATAATAAGCCCAGAAATCACATATCCCACAGTCAGCTAGCTGGCATTTTCTGATATTAATTCTTTCTCCTACTCTATTTTCTCAGTCTCTCTATACCTTTAATTTCTACCTACTGCATTTAAAATATGAATGAATTGGCAAGTCTGCCACTTGAAGAAATATGAACGAAGGAAATATTTGCCTAAACATGAATGTGTGCTATTATTTCAGATGCTGTTGTATGCCTTTGTTTGTTGCATTTTTTTAAAACAAGTCCCTTTTCAAGCCTCAGTTTGATTCATAGCTTTTCTGGATATTTTTGCTGTATAGTTTGGACATTTTGTGAGAAAAATGGAAGACCCCTCCTCTCATTAGAAATTGTTGAAATCAACTTATTTCATCAAATGGTTCAGTGATCAGTGTTAGGCCTTTAGGTCTTAGTGTCTGTCTCTTCTCTAACATGAAAAAGCAGTACCAATCCCTAAATGCACATTGCTAAGTGTATATAACTAAGGTAATACCTTTCAAATAAAAAGGCGTTTATATAAGCATTGCAGTTTTGTATCATAATCTGTTGTTGCCCATGATTTATGGTATCCATGGAATATCTGACTTGGTCTAATGTTACTGCTAACAAATATTTGCAGCTATATTTGGATACAGACTTAGATTTAGGCATACGTGACCAAGACTCTTCTGGGCCTTTTGGACAGCAAGGCCTTGGGGATGTGATGTGTGTGCTCAAAGGTCAGTGAAACAGACGCCTATCCTATTGCTGGTCTCCAAACTTGTCACCTGTATCTGATGGCGGAGATCCTTTTAGCTCCAAGAGGTGGTGCCATACTGAATACAAAGCCATAGTCAGATACTTGGGAAAGTAGAACTGGACAAGGAGTAGTCTCTATATTTCAGAGATGTTTCTGTTCAGATTCATTTAGCTATGAATGAAGGGAGCTGGCAGGTGGCCAAGAAAAACATGGTGGGGAAGGACGGAAGAGAGGAGGAAATGTCAATATCATGGATATTTGGCAAACTAAACCCAGGAGAATTTTTCCACGAAGTTTTCTGCCAGGTCCAGAAATCACAACTTAATACCACAAATCTTTTCCTATTAAAGAAAAAGTGAGGACAGTGGGTTGGAAAATGTGGGTAGCCTCTGATTCTAAGGTTCGGATGCTTTCTGGCAAGCCCCACAACTCCATCGGACCTGTAACATACACGAGGGTCTAGTATCTGTGTTTATGTGTCTGACGTGTTTGTGTGTGCAGGGAGGGGGGGGCAGTAGGGTTGTTATAAGGCAGGGTCCTTAAATGCTTTGTTGCATTATGTTAATTCCTCGGCAGTGCAATCAAATTCATGTCGTAATTAAAGCTGTCAGTTGGAAGGCAAGCCAATCACCATGAAAACACAGCATAACAAATGAAGTGAAATGATTCTGCGTGTAGCTATACAATGCTTCGCCAGGCATGAAATTAAATAAGTAATTTGATGTTGACATCAGAAATTGAAATGATACCCACTGTTCCCTCATTCAGTCAGACCTGCATAAACAATAGCCAGAACAAATATGCACAACAAAGCCCTCTCCTCCACCCAGCTCCCTGAGTAATGTACAATATATATGCAAAACGAGTATAACAGAGCTTCCTGAGACCTGAAGTATGTAATTTTCTTTGGTATACAAGAAGATGATATGTGGGTGTGGGAGGGTGGGGAGGTGGGTTTGGAGGGGTACTTTTTCTGGGATAAAATAATATTTGCAGGAAGAAAAAAAAAAAACACCCTGAAATAAACAAATGCCATGTTTTCTTTGAGTGATTCTTCCTAAAATGATTTTGCCTCCCAGGGCCATGACTCCAGGCTGGTGGAGATCTAGCCTGGTTTTTCCTTTCCTCTGCTCCATGGAAGGCTCTGGGTGCTGAAAGCAGGTGATGCTGTCACATGGCTAATCACTGCTGTAGAAGCCGTCTCCATGACTACTGTGGCTCTCCCTATGTACCATTTATGGGATCAAGAATGCAGCAGGATTTTTTTTTTTAAAGCAAGGCCAGTGTGCAAGATCACACATCTGCCATCTGTTATTCCCCTGAGCTTGTCTGGAACACGGAGGTGAAGAAAGTTTGGCTTTGGGGGCTGCACTTAGGAATGCCCTGGGGCATATTATCTTTGTTTGATACTAATGCTCTTTGTACTTACAGTGCTGCATTTCCTTCTCAGAAACAGCTTAAGATGAAGAAGAAACACATCTGTATTTTTGCAGATACTGAATTCATCGTTTCCCTCCATTTGCAATACATTCTTTCATTTCTATGTACATTAATTCAACAAATACTTTTTAAAAATGCATCTCCATTGTGCTAAGCTCTGGGGAAGTAATTATGAGTAAGCCAGATGATATCTGCTTCCCATGGTTTGCAGAGCAGGCATAGGACAATTAGGTGAGGAACGACAGGAGAATGGAGCAACTAATCCAACAGGTCACTCTGGGGAAGGCAGAACACCCATCCCAAGCTAGTCAGGGAGAAGGCCTTGCTTCTGGGAGGATCCTTAACTGGGATCTGAAGACTACCTAAGCATTAGCATTCTTTTTGTTTCAAGCTTACTTGGGACCTCTGTTCAGATAGAAGATACTAAAAATTAAAGGAATATTTTTTGTGTTAATCCTCACCCTAGGATATTTTTCCATTGTTTTTTTTTTTTTTTTTTTTTTTGGTTTGTTTTGTTTTTTTGTGAAAGTGGAAGAAAGAGAGAGAGAAGAGAGAGGCAGGCAGACAGACATGGATTGGTTACCTCTTGCATGTGCCCCAGGGACTGGGGATCTAACCTGCAATCGAGGTACTTGCCCTTGACCTGGAATTCAACCTAAGACCCTTAAGTGCTAGGACCAATGCTCTCACCACTGAGCTATACCCGCCAAGATAAAATGAAAGAATTTTACTGTGATTTTTTTTTTTGGGGGGGGAGAAGGAGGGCTAAGGACAAACATACAAGAAAGAATCACAGGCAAGTCTAAAACAAAACAAAACAAGTTCTTTGTATGGTCTCCTTCCCCAAAACAGTGATGCCCTTAGTTACCTTTTAGAATTACTGTCTTGTAGTTTCCAAGTGTCAGACTATGGGAGCCTACAGCCTTGAGAAAAATGGTGCATTTTACTGCTTTCCTTTACCCACACATTCTTTGCATTTCAGTCTACTAATTATGTTTACAAAATGTCTCCTTTTTGAAAAGCTCTCTGTGTGTACTAACTGGTGCCTTCAGGGAATAAACTGGCAAGTAGGTCACGCACTGGAAAAGTCATCCAGACCCACTGGGCTTTTTATTTTCAAGTCAGTCTGGGCTTTTTCCTCTCGCCTGCCCCTTTGCGGCCACAAAACTGAGTAGCTTGAGACCAGGGCATTGAATGTCATCAAGTCAGGGAGGCAGGCCGACGTGTGTCTGTTTAGTCTCAGCGCAGGGCGAAATGCCATCATTAATTCATTACCCAGCTGCCTGTCAAATAAATTGGCAATTACGTCCACCGCAGAAGCTTGGAATTCAGTAAATAGCACGTTAGCATCTCTGAGTTGTTGAGAGATGTAAAGGGGGAAATTAAGCAACACGGTGTTTGTATCGGGAGCAGATGACAAGGGGCCGCGTTCGCTGGTGGTGTGATGCGGTGATGAAAAGCCCTGCAAAGGGCTGGTAATGAGCTGTGTGGATTGGAATGTGTTAAAAACCATTGCTGATTTTCCACTTTGTCTTTATGCTTTATTGCAGAGTTCAGCTCCTTCCAGTTTGGGAACAGGCTACTTCGTAAGTTTATCTCAACTTTCACATGTGTGCCTTCCCTTGGCATTGATTTACTTCCGTAATGTGTGCTCATTAGGATGGGGGGGAGGGGGGGAGGGGGAGGAATCCTAAGAAATCCCCTCTCAGTCCTAAAGTGCAGACGGATATGCAACCTTTTATTAAGGATTGTTTTATTTTTAAAATAAGTGACTTGCTGGGCCCTAGGGGCCATTGGTCAGTCTGAGTTGTCTGTCTGGTTCCCAGCGGGTGGCACGTTGGCCCCTTACCTGGCAGCAGAAGTGGAACAAGGAAAGCTGACTGGCTCATGCCACCTCTCCCACATGATTGTTTTCCATTCCATAGGTATCCTATGGAGAATGGAATTTATATTATGTACTGAAGTTTTCAATTTCAAAATCTCTTGAAGAACTTAACCATACATACAGTGAATTGCCTTTAAAAAAAATTTTTTTTTATGAGAGGTGGTGTTTTAATGGATGTATTACCTCACAGTCTAAGTAGGTGACCTTTAAATTTCCTTTCAGCAATCATTACACTTCTCATTTTTAGCAAATGTAGCTGTATTGTTTTATTTCTAGATTTTACTCCCATCTTTTCGGAGGGTGGGGATGGTGACATAATTCAGGTATTGTCACAATATTTCTCATAACTGGGCACTGCATTTCATTTATTTATAGCAAAATTACGCTTTTTGGATTCAGCAATCCTTTATTAAATATAAGTAGAAAAGAATTACAAATTAGTATTATTTACACAACTAGACAGCCTGCCAGTGTGGAGGTTGGTTGTGGTGTTTAAAGGAATCTGATTTGTGATCTGAATGATGAACACTGATACTCTAATGCCAACTCAACATTTTCTGAGAAAATAACAGAATCACGAAAATAAAATAGAGTGGAAAATAATTATTGATTCTGTTTAGTTGCCTTTACATTTCTTCCCTGTAAAATGCTAATTACTCTGGTTTTCTTTGCCCAGGCATTTTTCTCCATATATTCATGTAAAGTATGTGAAATCCAACATTATATCACTGAAAATAATTCTTTTTCAAGCTTAGCAGAAGTAATATTTTCTAAATGTTGGGGGGTTTTTTTGGTATTACTCTATGGTAGCAGAAAAAGGATAAAGATTTTTGGGTACCTGCTTAATACAGTCCACACACTTGCCCTTGTTCCTTATTGTGACTGAATATTCATGCTTGCAAAGGGGAACAGGATGCTTCAATAGTGGAAATAACAGAAGTAACACCATCTGCCATCTCTTCACACCAGGCTGGATGTGGGTTGAGATGCTCCAAGTAAAATCTGGAGACTGCCAATATCTGTTCTCTTTCCAAAAGCTAAATTCTCCCTCTATGATTTCTTCAGCAGATCAAGGCCAAAGCCACTAACCTAGCCCTTGATAACTTCTAGTCTGAATTTGTATATTAAACTTTTGTCAGTATGATCACCCTGAAAAAAGAAAGGCATCTCTAGAAGCATAAATAATTTTTATACTTTTTTGTCATTTTTTTTTCTCTGATTCTAGAAATGTTTATTTTTATTAGCTAACAATATGAGTAAAGGGTCTGCACTTATGAATATAAATTTTTTGCACTTACACAATGTTGGATGACTATAAAAGTTTTTCCTTATTTTGGTAAATTTTTTCTTAGTATTACTTTTATAAAAAGTTTTTGTAGTAATAGTAACTTAGATGGAGAAGATACATACCAATTGTATGTTCAGCTCTCTACTTTGGCAAAAATGCTCTACTTAGAATAAGTTTCCAATAGTGTGGTTATTATATTATCAAAGTGCAAAATCCATTGATATCATTGCCAAGTCCTCATCGAAAGTGTCTTCTATTTCAGTTTTGATTCCAATACAATCACATGTACTATTTAATTTCAGGTACTAACTTCAACATTGCTGCATTTCACATTTCTAAGTGTAAATAGTATATTCACAACTTATAGTAGTTTAGTACCAACATATTCTTTGCACTGTGCCTTATGATCTTTATATCATAATAGTCTTTACTTATGTCAGCATCTGGTAAGTAAAATAGTGATATTTTTACTCTGTCCTTAACCCTCTTCAGCATATTTTTGAACTGTGACGGGGGCAAATCAACTGCAGAGTCAATGATCTATTAATGCAATTGAACCATAATGTAAATTCTGGTATAAGAAAATTCCAGGATTCACCAATTGGGTTTTACAACCTGGGAACTGTTTTCTTATTCTTCCCTAACCCAATATTACTCTAACTTCAGAATCTTCTTTTATTTAGGTTTTTATGTTCCTGTAGAGCTTTTGGTGAACTGAATTAAAATGCTGATTATTGTGTGTGCTAATAAAATAGACACCCACCTTAGTATATGCATATGCAGGTGTATGTGTACACACACCCTAATTCACTGCCAGTGTATTCCACTTTCAGTTCTTTTCATTTATCAGTAATGATAAGTTAAAGGGTTTAAAGAAGAATCCTTTGGTTTTGACTTGGCTGTATTTGTTTATATCTCCTTGGTTTTGTGTTCCAAAGATGTCGTCTTAGGTCTGTCACTTTTCCAATCCATTTATAATCTGAAGATTTGAGAAATGAGAACAGCAGCTGAAAGCAGTATTTACATAAGCATATTGCAAAGAATTCTTAAAGTAGACAAAATAGAGAAGTATTGGAACAAACTTTTCACATTTTTGGGAGCTTTTGAATAATGTGGGTGTTATACACACAGACACACACAGAGACACATATTCATTACATACTCAGACACCACTCATATTCTAAATATAAATGAAAGTATAGTTGGAATCTATTTGCTTTTCTTTTTGGCAAGAATACCAAAACTTGTTGGAGCGTGTAGGGTTTTTTTTCTGTTTTCAAAAATCTTAATGCTGTGAGTGAACACTTTTTCCCCCATTTAAATGTTTATGGCTATATTTTCTTCTTGTACATCTATTTGAAATTTTATTGCATAGTTTATAATCAACTTTGAGACAGAATGATCTGAAAACTAGTGGTATCACCTTTGGCAGAGTATTTAAGATCTGAGACTATATCATCATCTGTACTTACCTAATAGAGTTGTGAATATTAAATGACATAAGATATTTAATGTAAATAGAACTGCACTGAGTAACACCAAATAATATTATGTTGTCTCTTATTCCCACAGTAGTATGAAATGGAAAAAAAACCAAAAAACTTGGTCTCATTAAGTGGTTTGCATTGTAGTAATAAAGAATTTACCACCAGAAATTAATGATACAAAAGTAAGGTTTGTAATTTGTCACTGTTGGGTGGGAATTTTTATTCTTGTTATCTTCTTGTCCTTTCATAGGAGCCTAGTGTTTTATGTTTAGTCAGCTGTATACCTATTTTATCTGTGTGTAAATTTAAAACAAATACGGAATTCCTCTGTGATTCCCTATGATCATGATGACATTGGAATGAACTTTTCTACAGGCTGTCTCATATAATGAACACCTTAGAATATCAATTTGTCTATTAAAGTTATTTTTTTAGTTTCTTCCTCAAATCTGTGGCATTTAAAGATGACTATTAGATCTTAGGGTTGGGCTGTGAGGTTAAGAAAGACCTGTTCACCATATTCAAGTTCTATGAGTTGTGTCACATGTTCGCTGCTGTTGGACACCAAAAAGAGAGGGGATGCTCTGTTATGCATGAATGAAGTAACGGAAGGCAGTAGAGTGAAAAGACCAGGGAGCACATCTGCTGGTTGCCAGGGGTCTGCTGTGCCATCCCAGGAAAGTTCTGGACTCATGGTCTGCGAGCAGTTGACTCCCTATGCCATTTGGGATCTCCTTTTGGTGTATGGGTAAGTGAATTGTCAGGATAAACTTGAACCCTGGTGTAAAGGAGAACCCTTCCTTTATTTGGGTGAAGTACAATTTTTATCTGGGCAATTTTCAGCCTTCTTCTAGGTTTAAATCTAAGTGTCTTAGGCCCATACTCTCAAATCGCTTGGATCCTGCTTTTATAAACTCCAGTGATCCAAATAGTTTTCTTAATGGTTCTCAACCAATAACTTTCATCTTTAATTGAGTCCCATATAGTTATATACATACTTTAAAATTATGAAGGAAACCAATCAACTTCACCCTAGTGAATAAACCTGCCACATCCTACCCTATATAATAAAAGGCTAATATGCAAATTGTCCCATTGACCAGGAGTTTGATCAGGGGATGGGGCCGGCCAGCCAACTGCCAGTGGCCCCTCTCCCCAGACATCCCAGCCCGATTGGCCCTAATCGATCCGGACAGGCTAGCCAGGCCACACCCATGCACAAATTTATGCATCAGACCTCTAATTATATAGTAAAGGGAATTTGTGTAGTGGCACACATATTACTACTAATAAACGGGATTTGTATAATTACTGTTTGGTGTTTTTTTTTTAAATATATTTTATTGATATATTTTACAGAGAGGAAGGGAGAGAGCTAGAGAGCTAGAAACGTCAATGAGAGAGAAACATCGACCAGCTGCCTCTTGCACACCCCCTACCGGGGATGTGCCCACAACCAATGTACATGCCCTTGGCTGGAATCGAACCCGGTATGTTTCAGTCCGCAGACGGAGGCTCTACCACTGAGCCAAACCGGTTTTGGCTATAATTACTGTTTTTAAGTACAGTTGAATAACTTAAGAAGTTGTATTGATAGCATTGCTAACAGGTAGTAGGGGCCAAATACTGACCTATGGCTTTCCATCCAGAGTTATAGGATCATCAGAGGCTCTGATCTAAGTTTTTTACAATAGACCCTTAAAATACTTCCCATTTTTCTTTGCTGTAATTCATATAACTCTCAAAACTGATTTGTGGTATTTTGTATAACAATAGATGCTTTTTAAAAATCAGAGTGGGCCCTAGCCTGTTTGGCTCAGTGCGTAGGCCTAAAGACTGAAGGGTCCTGGCTTCAATTCTGGTCAAGGGCATGTACTTCGGTTGCAGGCTCCTTCCTGGCCTGTGTCCTGGTCAGAGTGCATGCAG